GTCCGGATATTCCAGGTGCATACCCTTAAATCATAGTCCTTTATACGTTTGCCGTGGTCGTCATCAGAAAAATGGGGTCTCATCCGAGGCTGTTTTTTTCTTTTCATTGGGCGGGGTTTTAACGTGGCGGGACCCAAACCCAGCGCACGCGAAGTTTTACGCCTTCAAACTTTAGCTCGCTCCCAAACGGGTGTTTGGTTGCTACCCAGAGGATACGTAGATATAAATATCTGGACGTTGTGAGCTGCGATTTGAACCGTACACACGAGAATCGCTTTTGGCCACTCCCAGGTGAATGGCAATCAAAAGTTTTCCACTTCTGCGCACGGAACGATCCTCCAAATTATATAATTCTGGATAATTCCGTACCAACTCGATTAATTTTCCCTCCATATTAAACAAAACTTGCAATAGAATAACGTCAGCTCGTCAATGAATTACACAACAAATCCTTTCCGAGTCAACTACACTCAAAGCAATATATTTTTTTTTAAATTTAAACATATTCAAAAAGGTAACAAGTTTCCTCTCTTAATAATAATAGATTGGCGCTTACACATATGTTCGTGTTTGGCCGAGCTTCTCCTCCGACTTGTGGCGTGCGCCTTGATGTTGTCACACAAAGCGGAGGGACCTACAGTTTTACGCCGACTCCGAACGGCGATTGTATATTTATGAGAAGCTGTTTTTCATGGCAGAAATACACTCGGAGGTTTGCCATTGCCTGCCGACGGACGACCGCTGTTGAGAAAAAACCTTTTTTCTATATTTTTTTTTTTGGATGTTGCTTTGACCAGGGCTTAAACCCAGGTGTTGATGAATGGAAGCGCGCACTGCTTACCACTACACCACAGCGGCCGACCATGTTAATCAATTTAAATACGGCTTTTTAAATTTAACTTACCATATGTGTGGCTTGGAACAAATTTGAAATTGGTTTGTTGAATTCTAAATACTTAAGGCCAAATTCACAGTGCGTAGTTAACTCAGAATCGGCAGTTAACTACAGATTTTCAGTACAGCACTGTGAATTCGGCCCTTAGGGCCATTAATTTAACTATTTTAAAGTATAGTTAAAGCATTAGTTAAACTTAACTACACAAATTTCACAATTACACAGTTTACACATAAAATATTTAAAATTTGCTCTAAAAGTTTTTGTTTAAATTAACGCATATTAAGAGAGGTTACCAGTTTCCTCTCCCAATGTGTGCAAGTTTAGACACCGTGTTAATAAAATTAAACACTGCCTCTTTACTTTTACATACCAAATTTATCGCGTAGAGCAAAATTACACATAAAATGTACTTAATTTTTATTTTTAGTAGGGAATGTATTTTTGCGTTAAAAACGTTTGCAATTTTAAACATTTCGTGTGTAATATACATGTCATGTTCAAAATCCAATCTTGAACATCTTGTGCGTATACCTACACTTACATAGATTTTATTTGAAGATAAACACTTTTCAGTAGCAGTTTTACATCCAGTTTTTAGAGTGTATAAAAAAAATGCGGAACGAACACTGAAGCAGCACTGACGGTAAAAAACGGCACTGTGCCGGACGGTCTGAAAATCTCTATTTGGGACTGGGGCACCGATATTATATTTTTCACTGACACTTATAGGTATGGAACTGATATGTGTACATAGACTTTTATTGTAAAAATCACCTATATAACACAGCTCCACAAAAAAAATTCTACCTGTTACCAGAACATTTTTTTTATATGTTTTTTTGATT